TGAAATGACTCTGATTTCTCCGCTGCGTGAAGAGGGGATGGCCTGAGGTTCTGGGGTGTGGGGTGGGGATCATGGCCTTGGTTACGTGGGGCTTGCGTTCCGGAAGGAGTGGTCGGTATGCCTGCGAGTTTTCCCTGGAAGAGCGATTTTTTGCCTCTGCTTGAGGCGAGGTGTCTGGATGAATCGGCTCGAGGCGGCTGACGTATGAAAGCTCTCGATCTGATCTTCTGAGTAGTTAATACACTCGTCAGGTGTATCATGTCTGGTGGAAACGACAGTATTTGGACGATCCTTCCGATTGGAAGGGTTCGGAAGGCAGGGCGACTGAGAGAGGTAGTCCGTCTGGATCTGGATTGAGGACGTGTTCCATGGGAGAGTTGAATGGTTGTGTACCGTCGCAACCGACCGGGCGGGTCGAGTCGGAGCCGGGGACCAGTCGGCGCGAGGTAGGGGTCGGTATGATATAGTGGGTGTTTGGCTTTTATACTGGGGTGGTCCTCGGTTTGAGTTTTCCTTTTGTCTCGCGGGGGTAAGATTTAGCGATGCTCCCCCGAAGCGGCGAAGGGAATCTTCAGCATTCATGTACTTCTGGGCTTTGGATAGTAGGGCTGCCATGGTGGTTGGAGGGTTTTTGGAGAGGGAGAAAAGAAAATCGGACGACCGTAGGCCGGCCATAAAAGCCGTGAGGATGACCTTGTCGTCGTTCTCCGCTACTTGAAGGGCTTCGGTGTTGAAGCGGGTGACGAAGCTGCGGAGCGACTCCCCCTCGGTCTGACGAATGTTAAGGAGTTGGGTGGCTGGGCGTCTCTGACGTTGGGCGCCGATAAAATGGCTCAGGAAAGAGTCACTGAGGTGTTGAAAGGTGGAGACAAAGTCCGCCGGTAACTGGCTAAACCACAACCGAGCTGATCCCTTCAGTGTCACGGGGAAAGCTCGCCACATGATCTCGTCAGGGAAAGCATGGAGGATCATGAGGGTGCGGTAGGTTTCCAGATGGTCGACTGGGTCCGTCGTGCCATCGAAAGAGTCAATGGTAGGCATTTTGAACTTGGCGGGCAATGGTTTGTCCCGGATGGAGGCAACAAAAGGCGAGTTGGCGGTGACTGAGGGCTTGTGCTGAATGTTCTGCATGACCCCTTGTAGTTGGAGCTTCATAGCTCGGAGTTCAGCGTCCCAAAGGGGAATGTTGTCGCCATGGTCGGTCAATGGAGGCTGGACGCTGCTGGCTTCCCCCTCAGGGGCTAGTGCCACGACTGACGGGCGTGGGGGTGGAGGTGGTAGGCTCATATATGGAGGAGGAGGAAGTTGTAAACCTTCTGGGTTGAGCGGAGGGGGTTGTGGAGCAGTGTGGACCGGGGTTCTTTCTTGGTTGGATGGAATATCTGGAGGTGGTGCGGGGAGGTTTCTTTGGAGTAAAGCACTGATCAGGGCCTGGTTTTGCTCGGCCATGCGGTTAATGCTGTTGGTAAGTTCGATGATGTACTGTGGTGGGTTGTTTGGATGGGGAGGGTCTGTTTGATGATCGGCGGTATTATGGTGAGAAGCCATGGATCTAGTCGTGACCATACACCTGGACGGGTGAGAGGAAAAGGTAACGGGGAGAAAGGGGGGGCTCCGGCGATAGTGAACACAACTAGCGCACGAATAAATCACAATTTCCCATAGACGACGCTAACTAATGATGCAGTTCGTCCTGGGTGGATGGGTCGGGCTGGTCTAAGCTCTTCAAGTTTCGATCCAGGCGGATGATTCCACCAGATGACCTACAAGTAAGTCCAAAGGGGAACGGGGTAGTCCCCCAGTGAACCCTCCGGCGAGCAAATCAGTAGAGGAAGAAGGAAATATAGAGAGAGAGAGAGATAGAAAAGCTTAACCTTCCTCTTGTCTTCGATTCTTGCTTATATCCTTAATCATTTCACTGTCCCTTGCGACGTGCCCCCTTCCGCCGAAAGCCTGTGCCGTAGCTTACCTTGTTCAGGGTGAGGGGGCTCTGTTCCGACGGGGAGGTGTTGTCGTAATAAATGCTGTGATGGGCTGCATTAATGGTGATGTGTTGTGGCAATAACTCTGCAGATCTTTGTCTGCTGATGTGGCCTGTGTTTCACCTGCCGTGTGCCCGAATGTCATTGGCCCTCCATGCCCAAATGGCCTCCAGCTGTCTTAGGCTTTGCCAACCGGGTTATGCTATGGGTCCCAAGCAATGGGTTTGGGGTTGTTTGCTGTGGGCTGTAAGCCTTATGGGCCTATCCATGTCAGAAATAATCATTGAAATCTAACTTAACTTTGTCAGATTAGTATTATACGTTACATAAATTATATTAATCGCATACATATACACGGTAGTTTGTATAATACATATATAATTTATTAGTTTTATTTTTGTTTCAATAAAAAATCTATGTAAGAAAAATACACATTCCAACCATTAAACTTAAAATAATGAATAAATATTAATTACATTGTAGTAATATTTTTTTAATATAATGATATTTTAAATTTACTTAAAATTTTAAGAGATTTTTTTTTAGGTTTCTGGTATTAAGATTTTATAACATAAAGGACATTCAATATTTTAATAATGTCTAAGGTCCCTCAAATTGATTTAGAGAAAATTCGGCTTCACAAAGAATATTGGTCTAGAGAAATTGTGGAAAGAATTTCAGAATTTCTCTGGACTTTCTAGAGAAATTTTGAAAATTTTTCTGACCTTCCCTAGACTTCCCACTATAAATTTCTCTGACCTTTCCTTCTCTCTAGATAAATTTTTTTCTCTGGCCTCCCTCATACTTCTCACTCTCTAAAGAAATTTGAAATTTCTCTGGCCTTTCCAACCTTTCCTAAACTTCCCACAAAATTACCTCTCTAGAGAAATTTTAGAAATTTCTTTGGCCTCCCTGGATTTAATGTGTTGCAGGTAATGTAGTCTCTCTTCCTCACTTCCAACACCGAATCTTTGTTTCCATCGTAATTCCACACTATTGCATTGCATTATAGAGAGATTTTAAAGTCAATAGAAACAGACACAGAGATAAAGACAGATTAAGAATGGAAATAAAGATGAATGATTGAATTACTAAGAGAATCGCCAATGAGGAAGCAAGAGTTTTGAATCCATAGATTGAGAGACTTAGATTTAGACGAAGGAAAAGACCAGAGCTCGAACTCATTCATCAATGGTGTGCGTATCAAATTTCTTTGGGTTCATTTTGACCAATTTTCTCTGGGTTCAAATTCTAAAAATATTTCTCTAGGTTCATTTATAAACTAGAGAAAATTCAAATTTCTCTGGGTTCATTTTAACCAATTTTCTCTGAATTGTAAAGACAAAATATTACTTTATGAAATCCAGAGAAATTTCCGAATACATCTTCAAAAAACCAATCATCACATAAATTTATTCCAACAACTATTAATAAGTTAAAACAAACCAAAAAGATCAAATCTGAATAAGACTGGAATTACCCATTACAATATTCACCATTGATCAAATGACCCTCAAATTTATGAACTAAAAATTTCTACAAAAATCCAAGCACTTACCGCTCAAAGCCAGTTCAACTACATCGACCTTCAGAGGATCCCGCGAGAGAAGGATTACCAGTGGATCGACCGACGCCCTTTATGTCGAAGGTGATCGCTGTGAAGCCTCTGTCGGCAAGACCACGAGCTATGCCCTTCGTCAGACCATGACTACCTCCCAGTACAAAGTATGGATGGACTAGCACAATTCCCCAACCTCTCTTTTCGCTCCCTTCTTTCTCCTCCCCCTACTTGTTTCTTGCTCTGAAGATCTGAGCATCCAGCTTTACACCATCGTTGTTCTCAGTTGTGCTACTTTCTCTCTATATCACCACCAAGGAAAGTTAGTTCTAGCGAGAGAGAGAGAGAGAGTATGTGTGTGAGTGTGAGACGGAGCGATAGATCTAGGAAGGAGAGAGAGAGAGAAAGATCTAGGGTTTTGAATTGGTAGTGGAGATCGACGAGAGAGAGAGAAGAGCAACGGGAGAGCGATATCAAATTTCTCTGTGAGGGATCTTAGACATCAAATAATAATATTGTGGACCTCTTTCATTATCAAAAATAAGAGAGAGATTTTAGGCTAATTTTTCTAAAATTTTAATATCATTTTAAGGCCGAATTTGAAATAATATATTAAGCCCAATATTAAGCCGAGCCAGGTTTGGGCACAACTTGTTTAGTTTTGATTGTTTTTATGAAAATTAAAATTTTTTCTCACATCTTTTTTTTTTAATATTTTAAATAATATTTTTACTTTCTAAATGTACATAACTTAGATGTACTTAAAAAGTGAAATATTTGTAAAAAAATATTTTAAAAATTCAATAAATACATAAGAATACAAAAATATATTAAATTTTTATATATTTTTTTTATGTTTGATGAATTTAATTTTTTTTATATAAATATTATACTTTTTAAGTGTATCTAAGTTAGGTACATTTAAAAATAAAAAATATTAAATTATTTTACTAAAAATAAAAAATATAAAAAATAAAAATCTCAATCTTAAAGATGAATTTTTAAAATTTTTTTCCACCAAAAAAAAAAAAAAAGAAAAATTCAAAATTTTTGGATAAGAAACCCTGTTTGGTAGAGCTGTGAGAAAATACTTATAGCTTATACTTAAACAGCTTATATCTTATAACTATGAACATAAGCTGATTTCTGACTTATAAATAAAGCATCTCCTGTCCCAATAAGCTGATTTCTGACTTCTAAAAAACTGTAAGCTATAAGTTAAACCAAACACATCAAAATAGCTTAAATTAAGCTAAAAGTTAAAATAAGCAGCTTTTAAGCTGCACCAAACAGGGCCAATAGACGGTGTCATTTTAGTTTTTTAATTTTGTTAATATTTAAAATGAAAATGAAAATGAAAATCATATAAGTAATTGATTTGGCTGTTCTGACACTTAGAATAAGTTTAGAAAATGAAAAATGAAAAAATATAGATGAATTAAGTTGAAGTTATATCTCGCTCTCGCTCTCGCTCTCGCTCGTTTCTGTGCGAGTGTCCTACAAAAGCTTCAAACCCTAGGAATCTCTCAAATCTCATTCACTCCTCTTCTTCTCTCTACAAGCTCTCTGTATTGGTTTCTCTCTCTCTCTCTCTCTTTCTCTTTGCTCTGTTTCTCTGACGGCTAATCACTGCCGTCCGTTTCTCTGGATCTTCTCTCCGAACTTATCGACCCTCCGATGGCCGAAGGCAAGCTCAATCTTCCCGATGATCTCCTCTCTTCCAAACCCTCCGATCACTCTTGGACCCCCAAAGGTGCTCACTCTATCTTCTATATCTTTTTTTTATTATTTATATTAAATTTTGATTGGGTTTGATTTATAATTCGATGGATTTGATCGTCATGTGGTTAATGTTCCATTGGGGATTATTGATCCAAACGTATTTTAATTTGAATTTTCGCTGATGCTTCCTTTTGTGAGTTTGAATTCTAGGGTTTGGACGCATTTTTCTGAATTGTGTATTTCAGATCAGTTGTGTTCTGGTTGTGTTCTTGGCATGAAAACTTGGCGTTTGTTCGGATTTTGAGGTTTATACCTTTATTTCGGTGCACTGTATGGTTTGTGTATATCTTTTGATATTGAGGCTTCAAATCAAAGTTTTGATTATTTTGTGTTAATATGTTGTATTGGAGTTTAAGTGATAGTGTTGTAGTTCTTTATCTGATTAAGTTTATATGATTACCACATTTATATTGTTAATTTATCTACAACTCCTAAGTTGAATGTATAATGTATTCGTTTTTTCTATTAACTGGCCTATTTTTTTTTTCTTTACCATTTCATATAGCATCTATATATGTTTTCCCAATTTCTGCTGACTATTTTTGATGTTTGTTATAAAAATGCCAAGTTCTGTTCCCTACTCTTTGTTTGGTTTGGATTGATTTTTTAATGCTAGGTTGATGCTTAATTATACAATTGTGGTTGAATTTTCTAATGGAGCTACAAAATTAATACTTGCCCGTGTTGGGTTGATGCTAATACAGTGGAAGTTTCCAGAGGTAATGATGATGAAAAGGTGGCGTTAGGGCTGCTTGATGATGCGAAAGGTTAGTTTGGTTTTGCAATCTTCTAGCACTGAAAATTTTCTCAATTAACAAGAGTATTTGGTCTTATCTGTTTCACTGCTGTCGCTCTTGCAAATCCCCGTGCTCATGAAATTGTACATGTTCACTGGCAGTTGCTTCAGATCAAGCAGCATCAGAAAGTAGCATTCCTTTGTCTCCCCAGTGGCTTTATGCTAAACCGAGTGAGACTAAGATGGTGAGTTCTATATGATTAGATGATTGTACCTCTGTTTTGAACTTAACAATAACCTTTGATGCTTCTGTGTACCATTTTATATCTGTAAAGGTGCAGGATATACTAATTTCATGATGGATTGTTTACACGGAGACCTCCTAAACTATTGAGAAGTATCACTTTGTCTCCTAAACTATAAAAGTGTGCAAGTTTGGCATGTTTCACTTTTACCCCTTCTGTTAGGGTGTCCAATTTGTATGTTTTTATAGTTTAGGAGGCAAAAAGATGTTTCTCAATAGTTTAGGTGGTCTATTTGTATGCTTTTATAGTTTAAGAGGTCAAAGTGATACTTCTCAATAGTTTAGGGGTCTTCGTGTAAATAACCCTTTTATGATTGCATTGTTTTATAAAAACAGTAACTTCCTTTAATGCATGGTACTATGTAGAAGACTCTGTTTCTTACTCTTTACATGCAACTTATCAATTGGGTTTAGATTCTATGTATTTCTTTTGTTGGTTTCAGTGGCATAACTAGTATGCATTCTACCCTAATGTAATTTACCTAGTTGTCGCTGCCACTGTATGCCTAGGGAACTAAGTGTCCGTTTGGATTGATGTGGATTTGAAATGCATGGATTAGTTGATTACACGACGGCTTTCATTTTTGGTTTTTGATATTTGATGTCAATTCAATCAATCACTTTACTAGATTAACTTCTCAGAGAAATAAATAACCAACCTAGCAAGTTTTGGATTGACTTATTCTATTGTACGAAGAAGTTTTGAAATTAGCGTAATTTTTGTGCTTATCATTAATTATTGCTGTAAGAAGTGAATGAAATGTGCTATATTAACCCATAAATTCAGTTGTTTTGACCTTAAATTAATGAAGCTATTAAACAGAATATAGCATTTAATTTAATTTAATTTTGGCAGAGTCAATTTTGTGGGGGTCCGTTATGTGTGTTGTAAAGAATTTGGCGTGCACTTGTGTTTTCGTTGTACTCCTTGTACGTCTTATAGTTCCATTTAATTTTTGTATACTCACGCCTAGGTGCATATCTAAAATGGTTTGGTAATTAATTGCTGAATTTTTACAATGACTTGATCACAACTGAAGGGCTTAGTACTGAAGCCAAGGCCTAGCCCATTGGTAAGTGCAAAGCCTTTCCTGGCATATGACCTGGATTTGACCTTCATCCACCCCTCCGTCAAATAATGTAATGATGTTCTTGCTCCTCTTAAAGAAAACCTGAAAAGACTTGGTACTTTATTGTATAGCCTGTGAACATGGCAATTGACTGATGCCAAGATTAATGTTTTGCTCAACCCAAACAATCAATTTCTTGAGTGGGTTAAACTGGTTACAGCTGTGATATCAGCCCCACAAATTTGACTTACATCTTTCGTTTTTTCTTCTCTCTCTCTCTCTCTATATATATATATATATATTTTTTTTTTTAAGAATAAAGAGTAAGCAACTCTAAATGAAATAGAATATGTGAGCATTTCACAAAGTGATTGCTGGGTTGTACAAAGTGCTTCTTGCTAGGTTCCACAATCCATGTGCTTGTCATGTTACTTTTGACTCATGAGACAATAGGTAGCATAGCTATTTTTTCAATCAGAACTGACATTATTATTATGATTTCTGACCTTCTTAATTCAGATCTAAATTGAAACCTTGTACTGCAACCTGCTAACTGGGTTGCAGTAAGACACGATTAAAATAAAAAGAAAGCAACTCTAAATGAAATAGAATATGTGAGCATTCCACAAAGTCATTGTCTGGGTTGTATAAAATGCTTCTAAATAACATGATTTCAACCAGAACTGACATTTTATTATGAGTTCTGACCTTCTCAATTCAGACCTAAATCAAAACCTTTACTGCAACCTGCTTACTGGGTTCTGGAAACAATAAATTGGTTGAGTCTAGTATTGCCATTGCAACGTGGATGGCAATCTGCACTTTCTTTCTGTCACCATTGAGGTGGTTAATAGAACTACAATCTTGCAAATGTTGTGAGATGTTCAATTAAAATAGGATCAGACAGCTATCCTTCTCTCAATTTCTACCTTTTAAACATATATCTCCATCATTCTGATGTGATCTGTATTTTATTGAGACACAATATATATGTTTCACACTTTTTTCTATTGTTCAATGTATGACAGGAAATGCGTCAACCAAGTTCTCTGTCTCTTGGAAATCCTGTTGATCCCAATCAGAAGGAGGGCTGGCGTCCAGAAGTCCCGGAGGACAAAAGAGATTGGAGAAAAATTGCAACTGAGACTGATAGCAGTCGTCGCTGGCGTGAAGAAGAGAGGGAAACTGGCTTGCTTGGTAGAAGAGATCGCAGGAAGACTGATCGTCGTGTTGATAACACTCCAGTTAGAGAAAATACTGACAATAAGGCTTTGTCCTCTGATAGGTGGCATGATGTTAGTAATCGCAGTTCTGCACATGATACTCGCCGTGATAGCAAGTGGTCATCTAGGTGGGGTCCTGATGACAAAGATAAGGAAACCCGGACTGAAAAAAGGGCAGATGCAGAGAAGGATGATACTCATAGTGATAATCAATCATTTGTAAGTAGCAACTCCCGTGCAGCTCCTGATCGTGACACGGATTCACGTGACAAGTGGAGGCCACGCCATAGGATGGAGGGAAATTCTAGTGGGCCAGGTTCCTACCGTGCTGCACCTGGGTTTGGACTGGAGAGAGGAAGGGCAGAGGGTTCTAATATGGGGTTTACTATAGGACGGGGAAGATCTAGTGTATCAGTTGTAAGACCTTCATCTGCAGGTTCCCTTATTGCTGCTCAAGTTGACCGGACTGAAAGTGTCCCTGGTAAACCGTGTTCCTCAGCTGATACATTTTGCTACCCGAGGGGGAAGCTTCTTGACATTTACCGCAGGCAAAAACTAGATCGGTATTTTGATGCGATTCCTGACCAGATGGAGGAAGTTCCACATGTGACACAAGTTACTGTTATTGAGCCATTGGCTTTCGTTGCTCCTGATGCACAAGAGGAGGTAAGCTCTTTAAATTAGCGACTCAGACGAATATATTTGTACTGTGCTATGTTTGTGTTTTTTCACACGAGGGTTCTTTATGTTTCTGCTATGTTTTCAGGGTATACTTGGAGATATATGGAAGGGAAAAATCACCAGTAGTGGGGTGTTGTACAGTTCATTTAAAAAAGGCAGATCAACTGATAACATTGCAGGTGATTCATTTAGAAAGAGCTTTATTTCATTTTATGACTGTGACATCTGATGTATTTATTATTTATTGTTTCCTTATTTGTTTGGCGACCATTGGTTCAATGGTTAAGACTTGACCTAATAACGTTGAGGTTATGGGTTTAGTCTTGGGACCATTACTTTGTGCATTATGCCAAAGGGTAGATGTGTATTCAATCTTTCCCCTCCTAAACACACATTAATGTGTACTAATTGGGCGTTGTTTTTTTTGTTTCCGTATTTGTTTGTTTTTGGCACATTCTTTTGTTCCTTTCGGTCTTCTTACATCTCATGAGAATGTTTCTACCCAGATGCTGGAGACTTGGAACCCACCAATGGGAAGCACGGTAGCCTTCCCTCAATTATCACTGATGAGATCACTGATATCTTTGGAGTTGTTGGGCGTGATAACACTCAACAGGATGACGATTGTAGCACCTTCAACAACGAGGGTCCTAAAATGAATTTGATATATGGTTTGTGACAAACCTTCAACCCTTGTAGCAATAAATTTCTTTTTTTGTTTTTTTTTGTTTTTAGGGATCTTTTGAACAGAGACCCACATTTATTTTATTTCAGAAGGAGATATTAATCGTGAAGGGGAAGTTAAAGTCCCTGCAGCTACTATTGGTATGAATGCAGATGAAGCGATGACAACAATTTCAAATAGGAATAATTTCTGCGATGTGCAAGAGATTAGTGGTGCTCACCAGAATACTCATCTCAAAGTTGCAGATTCTGCCTTTACCAAACATCCTTCTGTTGATGACATTGCATCCGCTGCTGTGTTTGATATCAGCACCAAGCTTCCGGATGATTCAAATTCTTTATTTGTTTCTCCGTCTTCTGAGCAGAGTTGGAGTGGCAATCCGCTGCACTTTCAGGGCAGCCACAATGAATATCAGTTAGAAGGGTGTATCCCACCAGAGGAGTTGAGTTTGTTCTACCGTGATCCTCAAGGAGAGATCCAGGGACCGTTTCTTGGGGTTGACATCATTTCATGGTTTGAGCAAGGGTTTTTTGGGACAGACCTTCCTGTCCGCTTGTCAGATGCTCCTGAGGGAATGCCATTCCAAGAGTTGGGTGAGGTTATGCCTCATCTGAAAGTTATAGATGGACATGCCTATACTACCAACATAAGTTCCAATGTCGAACAGCCTGGAGCTTTGGAAGAGAAATCAGGGCTTGGTTTGCCCGCTTCTGCCCCTGTTCCTGAAATTGCTCATTCATCTGACTCAATTGACCACCGCTGGCAATTGTCTGGGTTTGATGGTCTACCGATGCAGCATGTTCAGTCAAGAATTTCTGAGCATGAAGGTCCATTGCAAGCCCCATATTCTGAGGGTCAACGCTTTCATGATTTGGGAGCTCAGGAAGAAGGTTGGTTACATTTTTTTTGTTTTTGGTCTAAATTGTACTACCCTTTTGATGGAGTTTGTATCTTGTCCTAATGTTTACAATTTTCTTTACAGAAATTGTGTTTCCAGGTAGACCTGGAGGTGGTGGCAATCCTATAAGGAAAACTTCTATGAGCATTAATGATACTGCAACTGAATTTACCGAATCCGGCATGGCAAATCAGAATAACAATAAGTTGCATCCTTTTGGGTTGTTATGGTCTGAGCTTGAAGGCCCTTTCCCAAGGCATAACCAGTTGTCAAATGTGTCTTCTGGTGGTGGTGCTCCTGATCAACTTGTCAACCCTGTAGCCGGAAGACTTGGTTCATTTGGTGCAGTGGCTGATTCAACTGATGCTGCAGAGACATGGTCTAATGTTTACAAAAGAAATATGGTTCGTGGCCCCAATTTGTATCAAGATGCCATGGATGCTCTCCGGTTGCAGCATATGGATCAAGAATCCAACCGCTTTGATGCATCAGAAAAGCTTTTGTCACAACAATATCAGCAACAGCTCAGTCTGTTATCTCCTCATCCCCACATGAATGAATCACTGATGGAACAAGTACATAGTCGGAATTCTATTCACCACCAACAGCTGGCCAATCAAACAGGACCAGATCTTGAACACCTTTTGGCCCTACAGATGCACCAGCAGCGGCAGATTCAGCTCCAACAACAGCATCAATTGCAGCAACAACATCAGCTTCATCAACAGAAATTGCTATTGCAGGAGCAACAGCAGTCCCAAGCTCGGCAGCTGCTTCTTGAACAATTGCTGCAGAGTCAAATGCATGATTCTGGCCATGGACAGTCTCGTGTTGATGCTGTTAGAACAAACAATGCTCTTGATCAGGTTTTGTTGAATCCGCAAATTTTGCATGAATTACAACAGCGTTCACATCATGCTCCAAGGCATGCTGATCCATCCCTTGAGCATCTTATACAAGCAAAATTTGGTCAAACACCGCATCAAGGGCATCAGAGTGATCTGTTGGAGCTTGTGTCACGTTCAAAGCATGGACAGATGCGCTCTTTGGAACACCAGATGCTTCAGCAACAGCAAGAGCAGTTGCATGCGAGGCAGTTGTCTGCGGGGTTGAGGCAGCGGATGGAAATGGATGAAGAGAGACACATTGGTTCTGTCTGGCCTGTTGATGAAACCAAGCACTTCCTCAGAAGTCCTGCTGGTGCACACCGAACTCAGTGTGCAGGGTTTGGCCCATTAGATTTTTATCAGCAACAACAGAGACCATCCCCCGAGGAGCAGCTGAGTCACCTTGACAGGAATCTTTCATTGCAAGATCAATTTCAACGGGGCCTCTATGATCCTGGCTTATTGCAATTTGAGCGGGGAATGTCATTGCCTGGTGGTGCTCCGGGAATGAACCTAGATGTAAATTCTATGGCACGCGGACAAGGTTTGGATATGCAAGAGCCAACTGCACGAGTACACTCTGCCGGTCAAGTAATGAGTGGGTTCTCTTCTGGTACACACACTCACCACCCTTTGGTTCCCAATCAATTTCATGCTTCACATTCTGATGCAATCAAGGGCCACTGGTCTGAGAACAATGGTCAGCCACCAAATGAGTGGATGGAATCTCGGATGCGTCAATTGCATCGTAATTCTGAGACACTGGCTAGGGATTCAGAAGTTAAAATGACTCCCGAAGATCCGAGTTTATGGTTGTCAGATGCTCCTGACGACAATTCAAAGCGTTTGCTTATGGAATTGCTCCATCGAAAATCAGGCCATCAATCAACTGATTCCTTAGATGTGAGCAACAATGGAGTATCTTATGACAGAAGGGCACCTTCGGGTCGCTATTCTGGAACAAGCTCTTCTAATCAATCCTTTAGTCTTTTATCAGATCAAGAAGCAGGTATAAACCACTCATATACTGTCGGACCTTATGACTCTAATTCAGGTGGACCACCACAAGTTCGTTTAGCTGATGAGGAGGCTAGCGCTTTGGAAAGCAGTGAAAGACTGCCTGTTAGATCCAATTCTGGAGTATTAATGGAAGGAGACCACTTTTTTTTGGGCGTCGATGAAACTTCTCAAGCAATTTACACAAATTCCAACATGATTGCTAAGTCATCTATGGAAAGGGACTCCTCGGATATGGAGGCGAAAAAACAAGGAGGATTCAAAAGTGAGCTTGGTATGATGAAGAACTCAGCTGCAGAGCTTCCAGAAGGCATGGCTGAGCAGGGTGCATTGCCTGCTATAGACCTTGGGGAAATGCCAATAAATGTCATTAGCAGGCGTAATTCACAAGGCATTACTGGTATTTTTCTCTTAACCTTTTCTGGGTTGGCTTCCATTTTGTTCATTTGAGTGATTGTTTCTAAGAACTGGTTCCAGGTGGCAATACAGCCTTCTACACTGACAAAATTGGTCGTCGTGATTCTTTTACAGAAGAGGTTGCCAAGGACTGGTAAGGATTCCTTTTGTTGTATTACACCACTGCTTCAGATATTTAAAGGAAAGGCCTGGATAGCTCGAAGCTACACTAAAAGGAATTGGTCCTTCATCTTCTTTTTTGAATTTTTGTAAAAGTATTATTTAATCATTTCTTCATTTTTCTAAGAATATCAGTTGAAGGAAAAACCTGGATAGCACAAAGCTTTACTAAAAGAGAGGCAGTGAAGTCTACCACTAAGGAAAAATCTTCACTTTAAAATTTTTTTGTTTTTAAACTTAAGGGTCATTATGTGTGATCTATACTGACCTATTTTGCTAAGATAGTCAAAGATTCCACTTTGTGTCGTTTCCTGGTTTTTTTTTTTTTCCTATGGAAGTTGAGTATGTGGATTACGTTGTCTTGGTTTTAAGTTGATTAAATTAGTCCATATTTTTCTTTTGTTTTAGTCAACTTCTTGTGTTCATCTAACTTGTTTGATATAACGGCATGTTAGTATTATATACTGGAAAAAATAGTTCTCTCAATTTTGGAGTTGAAGGAAGGGATATGTGGTCAATTACAAGCTTGCCAATATTTCTGCGTGTCTTTGGTAACATACATTTTGCAATTTTGACAGGGTACCAGCTGTTGCATCCAAAGGGCGGGACAATGTTTTGCTGAAACGTCCACCTGTCTCACGGAATGCAGCATCTCAAGAAGGGCTGTCTGAGCTGTCTTCTGATCCAGTCATCAGAGGCAAAAATCCTCCGACTTCAGTTCCTTATGAAGGTATGTCAATTTACAACCCCTCTTTTTTTTTATACTTGAAATCTTCTGAGTTGGTGTATAAATCCTCCATATCGGTTCTTTCCGTATAACTGCAATTTTAGGCTTTGCCAATCACAAAAACCTGTTAGGCAGAGGTCTCTCTCTCTCTCTCTCTCTCTCTCTCTCTCGTGCACACCTGTGTGCGTGCAAGTGTGCATTTTCTAGGTTAGAAAGGTTGGCTCCTAAATTTTGGGGCAGAAGAATATTGTTTGTAGCTTTTGCAGAGTTTAATTATAGTACGTTTGGATCATGTGATTTAATGAGAAACGATGAGAAGTGAAGGAAAACTCTCTTCTCATGTTTGATTTTGTAAGGTTGGTGAGAAATGGAGAGAGAATTCTCTTATTTTATGGGGTTTCATTTTTCATCCAAAGTGGTGAGAATTTGTGAGAAACAAGTTAATTGATTGTGTATTTTTTATGATAATGCAGTTGTCCATCAAAATAGAAGGAAGAAAAAGAAATTTGATCAATATCCCTATGGCATATTTTGCTTTCTTATTTATCCAAACATGATAGTGAGAAAATATAATTATTTCTTGTCTTTTCTCACCTAGATTACAGACCACAATCTTTTTTTTCTTTTCTTTCTTCGCCTCACTATGCAAATGGAGTGTTACATGGTTACTCCTATGGTTATCTCTGGCTCAAAATATTTAGTTGATTTTGAATGGATTAGGGGGAAGACAGGAGCCAGGGGGAAATAATCCAGCAAGCCAAAGTTCTGACGTTATGTCATCTGGCAAGAAAGATGTATGTTTTCGACGGACCTCGTCTTGCAGTGATGCTGACGCTTCAGAGCCATCATTCATCGACATGCTCAAAAGCAATGCCAAGAAACCGGCACAGCCTGAGGATCTTTCACTGGGTGGTTTGGAGTCATCGGATGGAACACAGGGAGGCCGAAGTGCGAAAAAGAAAGGGAAGAAAGGGAGGCAAATCAATCCAGCGCTTCTGGGGTTCAAGGTCACAAGCAATCGCATCATGATGGGTGAAATTCAAGGGATAGATGATTAATCGCAGAATGTATTTAGTTTTAGGAGCTTTTATTGTATTATTCTTTGTTTCTTAAAAGCTGTACAGTATACAATTTCTGTAAAGCATTTGCAAGTTTGATATTCTTTAATTTTTTTTATCCCCACATTTGCATATGATTTATGATGATGGGGGTGAGTACAAGACCTGGTTTTTAGTTTTAGAAATGGATGCGGTTAGCAAAAGGTTGTACAGACGGTTTTTTTGTTAGTGAAATTAATCTCCTGTATGTGAATTGTTGTATAGACCCTTTTTTTGTTAGTGAAATCAATCACATTACGAGAATCCTGTATGTGAATTGTTTTCTTCGATGGTTTTGTTTTATGGATGCGTAGAACTAGATTAACATGCTTTGACTATTCAAGTGTTTATTAAGTTGCTGCACAACAAACAAATTATGATCAATTACGAATCTGGATAAACAAACTATTGCAAAACATGATCACAAGGTACACAACTTTTAGTTGAATTTTGCATTCATTACCGAAACTATGGCAACAATCTAACTTCCAATTTCCAGCTCATTACCAAAGCTAATTGTTGAGCAAACTAATTACTCTAGTCAGATTCAAAGTCATAAGCTGTGTCCAACTATATAATCAGCCTCACAATAACATTCCACATATCTAGCTATCTTCAGTACATGATTTTTAACACAGCATGTTGCAAGCGAAGAGATGTCGAATTGCTTAAGAGAGCCAGTGTCCGCGAAAGAGTTGCATAACTGTTCTACCCATGATCCATTCCAATTCAGACAATGATAGAGGCACTCGCTTGGCAATGGCAGATACTGCTTCTTTGGTGTCTTTATACCCACACTCCGCAACAATAAATGGGAAGTCACTGAGCACGAGAAAATTAGCAAAGTCATTTCAAAGTTGCTTCTTTCAAGTGTGAGTCTTTTAATAGATACCAGGAAAAAAAAGAAGATAATGTCTACCTGCCCCACATGACACGGTTGGCACCAAAGCTAGAGACTACTTGGGAAAGAACTTCAGACAAATCCTCATATGGAAATGGCTTTCTTGACACCCGGAATAGGGCACTAAATTTTACATGAACCTGTCATGTTAAGTTTTGAGTCCTCATATTAATATCTGAACTGTCACTAAAATGGCACTAAGGAATTCATTATGTATGCATGTATGTAACCCTATAAGGGTGTAAACATCAGGGGTTTGTCTAATCTAGAGTTGCTGCTATGTGCCTAGAGCTATCCGCCATTGGTAAAGACGGCCATGGAATTTGGTATGAATTTGTCAATAATAATCAGCATGAAGGCTCTAGGCTAGAGCAGTTCAGCAGTACATCAGACATGCATCTCACAAATACCATTAGATTGAAGATAGAAGAAAGGACTTGAGAGGGTTCAAAAATTTGTGTGCTCTCATACTTTCAAATTTTGTCAGAAAGGGTTGGGGGTGGGAACCTAGTTGTCCAACTAATGCTCAAAAAATAGTCCAGCTAGTTCTAGGAGTCACCCTGTCCAAAATCTTATAAATAAATAGGAAAAATTACACTATTGATTCCTATAGCTTTTGTGCGATTTGACTTTGGTCTTCGTAGTTTCAATTTTATCAATTTGAACTCCACACTTCCAATTATATTTCAACGTGGTCCTTCTGTCAATTCCATTAGCATTTTGGATGGAAAAACAACAAATTCGAAAGTAGAGGGACGACAGTGGGATTTAGAAGAAACTATGCGGACCACTTATTATTTATTTAATTTTCTTTCTTTAAAAGGAATTGCTCAAATGCCCAAGTGAGTCGCGCATGTTCTTTTTCCTTCCAAAATGCTTATCGCAACTGACAGAGGGACTACAGCCAAATGCAATTGGAAGTGTAGGGATTAAATTGGAGCAATGGAGACCAAAGTGAAAACCTTGCTTGAACTAGAGAGACTAGCAGTGTAATTTACCCAAATAAAATCAAGGAGCAAAGCACGGGCAAATCAAGAAACAAAACATACAATTACAAAGAGTGGACAGAATAAGTTGTGCAGCACATTCTACCTGTGGAAATCTAGATAGCTTTAAAAGCTCTGAGAAAGCAAGGCTTTCCTCGTCATTTCTGCAAGATAACACAGATAAGAACAACCACCAAAGTCATTTACCTGGAATTATCTTAAGAAGTCATATACCAGGGTGCTTACGTTGGTGGTTTGCAGAAAGCCACATGATCAAGCATTACAGCAGTCGAGGGAAATTCTGTGCACAATTTCTCAATTTCTGATAGATGAAGATTAAGACCCTGAAAAGATCTATTAATAAGTCAAAAATCATTGGCATCTATAACTAATAACATGGTTTAGTTGAATATCAAGTGGGTGAATCGTGAACATAAATCAATCAAGTTCATCTTGTTTTGTTTAGTTTTTGAAACTTTTTTTGAGCTTTTTGTTCTTTTTTTTGTGTGCGTCTTTAGTGAACCTTTTTCATATTCTAGTAATTTTTTTTCCTTCTTAGATGCACATAATCTAAATGCACTTAGACAGTAAAACATTTATGAAAGAATATGAAAAAATTCGTTGAAGACAATAACAAAATAAGAAAATAAAAAAACCCAGCATAGATAATCTGGGAAATCGTGACCAGGCAGAACTGTAACAACAAAGATGCAATTAAGGCTTTTTCGAGAGGAGCTAATGAAGAACTTCGTACCTTCATACACATGAAACCCACCGGTACTCCAAGCTCTCCGGCTTTAGAGAACATTGCCTTTCCGATTTCATTTGTCATCTGTTAAGATCATTAAACATGATAAAAACTTCGTCACGAGTAACCATAAAAGACATGGGAATGAAATATCATCACTTTCTCCTTCAAGAAGGTTAATAATGAAAGAATTTATGTATTATTGATTGATATATTGATCTCTGATTGTTGTATTATTGATATTACAAGGCTTCCTATTATATAGGAGAGGATTTGGGAGTAGGTGAGTGTGTGTGGTAGGTGTAGGAAAGTAGGTGAAGTAGGTGAGTGTGTGTGGTAGTGGAGGTGGTAGGTGGAGTGGGTTATGGTAAATTCTAACAAATAAATCCAACAAAATGTTACTAATAACCATGCTCCAATAATTCTCTCATGAAATAAGCAAAGAAAAAAAACATGGAGTTAATTCCAGTAGCAATGATTTTTGTGTGAAGATCAATACCTGTTGACCAGAAGGCCACAAATATGGATTGAGGCGAACAGCACGATAACCATCCTAGCACAAGAAAAGATTCTCCATCAAATGATTCTTCTATTACAACATACTGGTTTTCTAATAGCTTGATATTCTTTAAAGACCTTCAAAATAAGATGTTCAAGCTGCTTAAGCCCACTCCCATCTTCTGCTGGATTTGCGAGGCAGCAACCAACAAACTTGGTTGGATACTTTTTCAAGACACTGTCCAATAATTAACTTGGCATAAGAAATACCTATTAAGATTAGACCTGGAAGAACTTGGAAAGAAAAGAATCAATTGATGTGATAAACTACCGACATTAACTGCAACTAATCTTCAAGCTTAAACATATGATGCTAACCATCAACTAATCCCTTTGTCAATTTAACGAAAAGGCCATTTCTTTAGCAGAGGATGGTCCAAAAGTCGGAGTAATGGAAAACTTGCCCCCGCAAGTCTATACAATTCACATGTTAGTAATTATTTTGTTATTCTTATGCAAAAATACATATAATTTTAACTGACCTTGTCACATAGGAGTGGTCAAACTTATGATTAATGGGCTGGACAATGAGTGCACCATCTACTCCTGCTTCTGCCATGCACTGTGAAAACATGACATTGATTATTGAAGGTTTCTGCTCCACTAGATGTTATTATAGCTAAAATGTTTATTTATTTATTTATTTTTTTAAATGTTGGGATATCATCTTACAATTATAGATACCAAAATAGGCAGTTATTAGTCAACTTGGAACTTTCAAGGAGCAAAAAGCCTCCAATTTTCATGAGAAGACCATGGGTTTATTTTCGTGAAGCCCATCTTCAGATTTCTACTTAGGTACATGGACCAATAACGGAAAATGTAAAGAAAATGGAAAACTAACTTCCCCATTGCACATTTATCTAATATTTAGCCAAAAAAGTGTGTGTGTATATATATAATGGAAAACTAAAAAAAATAGTATTTAGTTATAGTTTCTTTTCTCTCCCAATGTCTGCACGTTTGGGGAGATACAAAATAAGGAGTAATTTTTGTATGCGGATGGGCTATATGCCATGTGATACCTTCTACTATTGTGATTGGCTTTGATAGGAGGTTCCACTACATTTATGTTGGGTGTTTGCATATACATTTGTGATTTATGAAAGGTAGTGCCAAGTGGTAGCATACAAAAATTTCTCCAAAATAAGGGTCGTGAGTGAAATGGGTCACTCTCCATTTCACTCCATTTCTCACCTCTTTGCTTATCCAAAGGAGTGATATGAACCGAGAGAAATGAATTTCTTTTCTTTTTTTTTTTCGCTTCCCAAATCACCAAATCCAAACAGGCTGTAAATGGTAATCCTATTATTTACAGAAGAATTCAGAAGAGTTGAAAACTAATTAAGCAAGAGATTACCTCAAGCAAGAAATCAACATGACCTGGTAAAGTGGGTTCTTGTCCAGCAAAGTAAGGGAATTTATCTGCAGCCTTCAACCCAACAATATACAAACCAAATACATCATAATTTATATCTATATCTATCTAGATATGTATATAAGTTAAGTTTGATTACCTCCTCAGGAGATGCCCAAACATGCAAATGTGAATCAATGACTTTTGTACTAGTCGCCATTTGAGTTGCTGAGACTCCAACTCGACTATTCTTTGAAATGGAAGCAAAAAGCTGCCTCGAATTGCGAGGCCAAGAAGGCAGCGAATCTGTAATCAGAGGCTTCACTGAGCTCAGTCTCACTGCCATTTCACAACTCGATTGATTCTTTATATATCACACACTACCTGCATAGCGGCTCTCTCTCTCTCTCGATCTCGATAGCCTGATATGTAGAAATCACTGAAACTTTACAAATATATATGGAACTTTAGATTTTAATTAGTCGTCAACAGAGTGATGGTGTCGTGGTGTAGTTGGTTATCACGTCAGTCTAACACACTGAAGGTCTCCGGTTCGAGTCCGGGCGACGCCATGTTTTTTCTTATCGATTTTTTTTTCCTTAAAATAATTTAATGGTTAAATTACACTTATCTCCCCTGAAATTTTTAATAATTACAAGATTTTTCATATAGTTTCAATAATTATACTAATTTTTTTTACTTTTAAAATTATTATCAAGATTCTCCACTGTTAGATTATTTGATAAAATTTACTAATATCATGTCGATGTCACACAAAAAATGATGAAATTGATTATTAGTTATTTTATTTATTCAAATAAAAAATTTGACTTATCTCCTATGAGATTTTGCATTTATATTATTAAAAACACATACATATTTTACCATATATATTATCAAAAAACATAAATATTTTATTATTATTTAATAAAATTCTAAATATTTAAATTGTTAAGACATTATTAAATCATTTAATGCAAAAAAAAAAAAAAACCCTTATTGATAAATTACTTAAAAGTAAATAATCTCTCTAAAATTAACATTAGATAACATCCTAATAATTTAATATAATACTTGTTTCACACCACATAAATAGCCTAAAATTTACTATTTTAAGTAATGCATTTATTATTTGAATTTTTTTTACAGTTAAAATAAATAAATTTATTTTTTTTCTGCAATTTGTATTACTTATTTATTCATATGTAAAAAAATTATTATTTTATCTTTTCTCAATCATATATTATTATCAAATTTTAATTTTTATCTTTGAGTTATTAAACTTTTAATCAATGCATATTTAAAAAAAGGGAAAATTATTGTAAAATCTCATTTGGGAGAGTTTTGAACTGAGTAGTCCTCTGTATTTTTTAATACTCTTAGAAGTCCTGTTTTTTTGGTAATGATATAAGGACCGTTTGTCTGTTTTGGGATTGATTTTGTGATGCTTTTAGCCTTTATTGTAGTGTGTAACGTTTTGACAAGGGGAGTGGTAAATCCCGTTGATTACGTTGTTCTGTTGTCTACCTTCAGGAAGGACGTGCGTGAGTGGTGTCTTTGTCTGTATATTTGAATTTCGGGGTGGGGGTGTTGAAGGTAATAACGTTCGGTGGAGTGTTGATTGCAGTTAACGGGCTGGGAGGTTGCGAAGAAAGGGAGTAGTGTTTTTGGTTTTGTTACGACTATGTTTTTCTGAAATGTGCTCTGTTTTTGTGTCTGGATTTTGTTTGATTTGTGTGGGGGAATGAACAACATTGCATTGTGGGGCGGCAATGGTAGATGCACGGCATTACGTGACAGGGTCATGCGATAGGTCACGGTTTACATATGTGGTTACAAACACATTGTATGATGCATATTTGTTGTATCGTTACATTTTTTCCCCACATCACACAGGGGTGTCATGTAGCATACTTAATACGGAGTCAATGTATAGTTTTTTTTCCTAAATTTAATCACATGTCTGTTCTATTTCATTGTAGGGATGGGGGACGACACTTTGTTATTGTATTCTTTCGGTGCTAATAATGTCGCTGTCATGGTGGATGGTGTGTTCACATTCGCGCTGTTCGTTCCGTTTCAAATTTAAACATTAGGATGTTTCGTCCTTAGTTTCGTCAAACAATTGGTTACCTCGTTTAATATAAATAAAGTTGTCTCGTTTCGGTACACGAGTTGGAGGCACTTTACCCTAATTTGCAATTGTCTAGATATGAAATCACATTTGAATGCTTTGTTTGTGGTATAATTTAAATTTTCACCATGACTTCGGAAAACAACCTAACAAACACTTTTCTACTTGCGTTTTGATTAACAATTCGCATCAACATGACATGTTTCAATAAGCAAAGCCACCACCCCACAAGACATCCATTCCCATAGGAGGAACTCTTTAGAATTGTTTAACACACTTGGCACACAAATTTTCACACCAATCCCATTTCAAAATACTTCTCCCTTACCTTACATGAACTTCAAACATGGTTTACATAGTAACATACCAAGCATAGTTACGTGGCGTGTTCTGATTGGGCTGTTACGTTCCAGGTGCTCACAAAATCCAAAAACCACAAAAGTCCTTCCTAACTTCGCAAGCAAGTGAAAAATCACGCACGGACACAAGTGGCTAGTATCATGTTTATTGTGGCGAACAGTGCTCCGAAAACTACAATTTCAATAAAATACTTCAAGTTTGGACGCCAAACAACTTTTGCTCCAACGTCGTACCAAGAATGCCACCACAAACAGCTTATCATGATCAACATGACCCGAAGGTAACCACACCACAACGTAGGTCACGCATCAACAGGAACCGTCAAAGAATAGTACACAACATGCATTCTACGCGATACAAGTACACACCAAAAACAAACATGTCTCAAACGTTACAAAACAACACGTCAAGACAAACGAGTGTGCATTACAAACTGAGATCGGTGGCCGAAACTAGTGTGTATTACAAATTGAGATCGGTGAAATGTTGGGCGCAAAACCCTAGACGACCGTCAAACCAAAGTGCTAATGTGTGGGGTCGGTTGTCCAATGTTTGTGCCAATGTATACGTCCGGGTCGAATTTGAAACCACAATTTATTTTAGTACATTTTCCAAACGTCTCACAGGGGCAGGTACAAATGTGGGTGGGTCAACCTAACGTGGAAGATATAAAAGACTATAGTATGTTTTTTTTCAAATGTGTCAGGGCATAGAATACAGAACTATCATAAATTACCATTACTAATTAACCACAACGGGCAAAAACGAAAATTAACACTTAATGGGACTTCCAAGAGTATTAAATAAAAGTTGGGACTGATTAATTCACAAGTCATTCATTTGGGATTTACAGGTCAATTACCTTTAAAAAAACAAAGGATAATATTTTTTATGTGATTAAAGAAATAAAAAGAGAAGTAAAAAAATTTAATCACTTCACAATAAATTAAAATTAGTTAATAGGGAATGAAAGATTAAGAAATCATTTGAGAATAACAAATAATTCAAATAATTTCTCATTTCTTAAACCTAAAATTAAAATTAATCTTTACTTGAATGGAGAAATTATTTGAGAATAATAAAATACTCAATTAATTTTTTATGTATGATACTTAAAATATATTTCTCCCTCTTTATTTTTCTCATTTAAACTATTTTTATTAAATTAAATCTTAAAATTTATTTCTCACCTTCATTAATCGTTGAATTTTTATTTTATTTTTTATTTATAAAGTCCAAAAAACTTATTGTAGAAGAAAATAGAGTCAAGAAATTACATTTATACTTTGAATAATTATGAAAAATAAATAATAATTTCATATATATTTAATAAGGTGAATTAAATTACATTTATATTTTATTTCTTTTGAGAATATTTTATTTCGTTGTGTGTCTAACTTAGTATTAGAGTTTGATTACTCAATTTTGTCAATAAAATTATATGAGTATTTGATATACGGAATAAGTAAAATTAGATAATTCAAATAATAACACTTCGCTATAAATAATGATAGAAAAAAAATAAGGGTGATAAATTAAAAAATAAAGTAAAAATTTATCATTAATGAAGGTGAGAAATTAATTTTAAGATTTTAATTTAATAAAAATAGTTTAATGAGAAAAATAAAGATGGATAAATATATTTTAAGTATTATACAACAAATTAATTGAAAATTTTAGTATTCTAAGCCCTGGTTTGGCAATGGATTTCGAGCTAAATAATCACATATGGACAAAAAAAATCAAAAAAGTCAAAAATTCAAAAAATTAACAAAAAAAATTGTCATTCCAAAACCAAAAAAACCAAACAAGAAAACCAAACAAACAAAAAAGTCTCAGGTTAAAAAATTCAAAAAACCAAAAAGTCAACTAAAAAATTCATTGCCAAACAAACCCTAAAATAATTTCTCCATTTAAGTAAAGATTAATTTCATTTTTAGGTGTAAAAAATGAAAAATTGTTTGAATTTTTTATTATTCTCAAATGATTTCTTAATTTTTTATTTCCTATTAACTAATTTTAATTTATTGTGAGGCGATCAGATTTTTTTAACTTCTACATTTATTTTTTTTATATTTTTTTAATCATGTAAGAATAACTTGCTTTTTTAAAAAAAATATGCATCGATTAGATATCTAATGACTCAAAAATAAAAATTTAAATTTGTTAATAATATCTTAGCAATTTAGAGATAAATGATTTTCTTACATATGAATAAATAAGTAGGACAAATTGTTGGAATTTTTTTTTTAATCCATTTATTTTAACTTAAAAAAGAAAATAAAAATAAAATTTAAATAATAAATGCGTTAATAAAAATTGAAAAATATAATTTATAAAACATAACTTGTATAAAATAAATTATGGTAAGTCAAAACGTACGTAAAATATATTATGGTGACTCAAGGTATAATATAACTCATCTTAATATTGAGTCTTACTATTTCCCTCCTATTTTTGCTATGTTCTCTTGCTTTTTCTTTTTTTTTCTTTTCTCGTTCGATCTCTTACTATTCTCACAGCCCCCTCCCCCCTTATATACACGTTCCTTAGTACTGACTCACCTCATCATGATGACCTCATGGCTGATGATTCATTTTCCCTATTTGCTTAGATGGCACAGATGGCCCAATTCCACCTCTCCAGGATAATTGCCAAATCTTCTCTCATTAATGGTTGATTTCCTTCATCATATATTTGATAAAGGCAAATTAATTTACGTATAGATTTTATTTATTTATTTATTATTTTGCCTTAATTTAACATTGACCCTAGTTAATAAATTAATTATACTTTATAGCATACCATCATAATATTAATTATTTTGTTTGACTATTACAGATTATTATTATTCTTATTAATAATTGTGGTTGGTTGTGTATTAATTAAATATTTAGGGTGTCACATTCTCCTTTCCTAAATAGAAGTTTGTCCTTAAACTCGATGTACCTTAGTTTTCGAA